GCAAAAATTTATCTTTAAATAACAATAAAGTATAAATATATTTTTTTAAAAAAAACTAAACTAATTTTAACCCCTAAAAATTATAAATTTTAATTATTCAGGATTTTTATATACTGTATAAGTTAGAATACAGAGTATATTAAGTTTGAATATAAATTATTTTATGCAAAATTAAATGCTAAAAACTTTTTTTTAATTGCACCAGCTAGTTTTTTGTAATAAAATTTTGCGATATTGATAATTTTTTAATTTTTTCTTAAAAATTTCTTTATTTTGTTACATAAGATCCTGCAACCTAATTAGTAAATTTAACATCACCAGGAGGGGCAAGTTAGCAACATTCTTTAACAAGTATATTGTATAAATTGTAATAGAATATGCAACTATAATTTTTTAGTTTAATAAATACTTTTTTTTTAAATAAAAAATTCTCATGCTTTATTATTTTGAATCAATTAATAAATAAATTAATAAATTACTACTACAGTAAATTCCCAAAATAGCGGGCATTTGCGCGTTATTTTGACTACGTCGCGTTATTTCGAATATGCCCATGGTATTAATTCTGGTTATAAACAGGTTAAATGAATAATTATCATTTAAATATCGGATACAAGACTTCTAATATGCTACTGATTTGCTATATTTAGCGGTGATATTTACCCGATACTTGCTCTTCGAGGTGCGCGCTATTTTTGGGCACGCATGGGCGTTATTTTAAACCACTTATGCTATTTTTAGGGGCGCGATTTTACCCCTGTTTGCTATTTCGAGAATTTACGGTATTTGTATTTTTTTTAATTTACGTTGTTTCCGATTAAAGCGAAATTGCTACGCCCCATAAAGATGATCTGCGAAAAAATAGCTAATCACAGAGAAAGCCCACTACGTTGCGATCCAGGGGGGTAGTTGTATAGAAATACAAAGTTATGAATCAGATGCCAAGAAATCCGCGGCTCAATTAACTGCATGCAGTACTCTACCATCATCCTTTTACACTCTACATGTAAACACAAATCTAAGTTTCCTAATATGACTCCTAATATACTCCCTATAAAAAAAAGTTTATACAGTTATTGTAGGCATTGCCCAAAAAAAATGTTCTGAACGGAATCGATTTTCCGAATGCAAGTACGATATTTGATAAATTAATAACGTAAAAAAGAAATTTTTGGGTTGTACAAAATCAGTATATCTTCGGAAAATCGACCCCATTTTTTTTTTTTTTGAACAAAAACAGAATACGTAACTTTAGAAAATTTTAAGAACATTGTTGTCGACAAAATTTTTTTATGAGGACTATTCTGGGATGAGAGCAATATTTGATATCTAATGTTCTCAAATGCTCTTAAGAACATTTAAATTTTAAAAAAAAATTGAGAACAATGCATTTAAAAATTATGAATTCTTTTGAGAACAACAAAATTTGTAATTTATGTTCTCATAAGAAATATATGAAAATATTATAATTAATAAAAATTTGGTCTTTCTTTTTTATTATCAAAGAACATTAAAAATATTTCAAGTACATAAAATTATTAACCAAACTTCTCAAAAAAACAAAAATTTTTCGACATTTTTCATTGGATGAACTGGATGGAAAGGGTGGTTACCTTTCCCGTCTGTGCAGAGTTGACATTGGGTGAGAAAAAGTGGGAGAGTGTGTAGTTGATAACTCGTTAAGACCACCACCGCGAATGTCCATATTATTTAAATTTAAGCTTGCACGCGACCTTTAATTAGGTGGATACGGCAGGTAGAAAATACAGTACTGTTTGAATTTTTTATAATGTGAATAAACCTCTGCTTTCAAAATGACCAAATTGCTGGAACGTCTCAGTTGCAACACTACCAAATCAAGACGGAAACGTGTTGATGGCGGGTGCCTTGAGTATCCCGGTATGGTAAAAAGGTGTTTGAGCGTCAACTTGCAGAAATGCATAATTGATAGGGTGTAAATCCCGAAGAGACAACTAGCAGCCAAGCTCCCTAAGACCTGCACGTGATAGTGCAGCATAATATATGGTTTTTTTTTATTGATTCCCAGTATTGTGTGGAAACAGGGAGAAGGTTCACAGACTGTAAGGCCATCAGTGTAACTTGTTTTGATGTACAGCATCTCTCCGTAATCGGGTGATACGTGTTAAGCTGCTCTTAATTGAGTGACGTTTCAACGGTCTCACGAGAATATCCAAAGGCTGTGAAGATTCAAGAAAATTGCTGAAAGACACAGTCGATGAAAGCCGAAAGGCCTGGTTGGGCGGAGTTGCGTCCTATCCAACCTCCGGTGTGTTTAGTTAGTCGGGGCCCCTCGGTTAACCGCAAAATTTTTTTTAGTTAATTATAGATTATACCGGATTCGTCTCATATATATGTAAGTCCTGGGTTCAGGCTTTCTAGAGGATCGAAAAGGATTATATAGTTTATAATGACTTTTTTTGAATATTCACCTTTAAGGTGGCGCTTTTCCCGGTTGCCTAGTCCTTTAAGGGCATGTAGTCTGCACGTGATATGGCAAGTAGTTTTTTATATAGATTTCTGTGCCTCTACCATATCATAATTCCGAAAAGATTTATCTTCTGCTACGAATTACCTAGTTGTATCAACCAGCATCATTCGTTCGCGGATATGATAGGAGACTCGACGCTAAATAGTTTAATCACTAAGATTCCATCAAATATAAAAAATTTAATCCTTGGGCTAATAATTTGAAATAGTTTTATCATGAGTTGTTATTCCTTATGGGCGTTGCTTCTTAAGTGAACTAATGTACCGTGTTTTTCCCTCTTCAAGAATGGCATGTAATTCATATTATATTAGTAAACTTTGTGTTTTGTCCTCTTCAAGAATGACATGTAATTCGCGTCGTTGCAGTGGTTATTAAAATTTTTGCTATTCCATATGGCCGTTACTTTTAGGTAGTGGGCTTGATGATGAGTGTATAAGTCCGAATCTGCGATGGTATGAACATTTCTAAATATAGGAATGATAACGAGTTCTAATGTTCAGGACTGGGAGGATTCAATCGCGTACCTCTTGGATATATAGGGTCCGTTACAAACACAAGATAAGTCCACCTAGTGGCATATATTTAGGTTTATGCGATCAAGATGATAAGGCATCACCTTCAAGTCAAGGCTTTAACAGTATGGTGAAAAAAAGTTGATAATAAGTCCTTGACAATAAGGTGAAATTTGTGTTATACAGCTTAGTGATAACGTGTGGAGTTATTACAAAGTATTTCTTTTTATGGTCATTTCTCGGAAGTAGGGGAAGAACTCTGACGCTGTCTTGAGTGGTAAAATCTCTATTATTAGAGTTGACACACAGCCGAACCCGTCTAGTAATGGTGGTCTGACCAGTACCACGCCTTCGGGAGTCAAGTGAATCATAGTGTTCCATTCTATGTGTCTGGTGAGCGTCTCCTCCAGGGAGCGTGTAACAGCATGAGGAATGGCAACCAAACTCATCGTTTGGTAGCTATGAAACCTTGACGCATGTGGTAGTCTTGGCTGGGAGATTGTGTTTGTGAAAATTTTATTTTGAAGGCACAGGACTGTTACATCCTGTGAGATAAGGCGGATCAGTGATTGACAAGAATATGTTGGATATGACATGTTACTTGGTATAAACTGAGTACGTTGGTAATTGCAGTTCCGTCCACTGCCCAAAATGAGTTTAAGTAAAGACGATCGCAGCGGGTAGACTTATTGGTGTTGAGATGCTAAACAATATAGACAGAAGTGTGTAATTCCGTGAAAAGAGAATGCCTGTACGGATGAAATCATTCAAAGAACCAAAGGGCAGAGCTAGTTTATTCATGTCACCCGAGTGCTCCCTCTTGGGCATAGTGGGATGAAGTTATATAAAGGGAAGGATCATACTGCTTCTTGTTTATGAAACTGCCGGGGCCTGTGCTCATACCCATTCCGGTTAGTAGCAACACTCAAAAGGTGTGGCCTGAATGGGATGGTATATCCGAATACTAAGCAGTGATTAAATAGACAAGTTGTTATTGATGCGCAATATACCGAAACCTGAGGAAGGCCTCCGGTTTACCGGAGTGTAAGTATATTGTGATAGATAGTGTTCAAAGGCGGTGGTATGCTACGACCCCCTGTAGAATTAACCCTCTGCAGACTTAGACGAATTGTAAGAGGGTAACCAATCCCGTCGGGCCGAACTAGATAAGGTGTAAATCCTAAGGGGATACATCCACCTCTAAGGTATTCTAATAGGGTCTAGTACTGTATTTGGGTTGCGGACAATAATGGCTTAAGTCCAATACAATTTTAGGTGCAGACTATTGTGAAGAGCACTAGTAGCGGCCTATCTAAAACGAATATAGTAGAGTCAGTTGGTTTGACACAAAGTTTTTAAGTTACAAGGTTACTAAGTACAGGCCGGCTGAATACCGGATAAATATTTCTAGAGTAATCTTCAGGGCATGTCTAAGACGGTGAGTCCGGAAGCTAAATTGGATGAGATTATTATAAATTTTTTATATTTGTAAAAAGGGTATCTAGGACTGTCGAACTTAATAAGAACCACCAAGCGGTGTATTGAGTTTCTTATTAGGCACCTAAGTGAACCCCCGATTCATTATATTTCACTTTTCTTAGATATCTATCTGTACACATATAATCTTTAATATTAAAGTTTTGTATAAATATAGATAAATTATAATATCATAAAATAAAATCAATTTCAACATTAACATAAGTAGTCATAGATATTTTTATTACTGTTGCTGCTAAAATGTTTAAAATAAAGAATTATTGTTTATAAATGCATGGCATTAGTAGTTCATTATTATTAAAAAAGCTTATCTTCGCGTTATAGTTATTGAATTGATTTTAGTGTAAGCTACATTTTTTTATGATACTAAGGCGGCTGCAGTATTAGTTTTCTTGCATTATATCTAGAATATAATAATATCATTTCAGAGATGTAACAGTATATAATTTTGGTTATAAAAGCCATTTTAAATTTTTTTTATTTTTTTTGAAAAATATGTAAGTTGTATAAAGTTTCTTTGTTTTATACAAAGGTTTCTTTTTATCTTAGAAGAGTTTATGATAGCTAATTATATAAAAGTTCTTTATGATAATATATGGTAATAATAAAAAAATTTGATAATTTATAATATACTAAAATAAAATTGTATTACAGGTGGTAAAAAAAAAAAAACACATGTAAAGTCAAAAAGTTCGACATGTAGAATGGCAACATTCGACTGCCATTTAAACTGATATTCGATGTCGAATGTCAGTTTAAGTGGCAGTCGAATGTTGCCATTCTACATGTCGAACTTTTTAATTTTTACTAGTGAAAAAAAAGGGTATAATTTGATTAACAATCTAAGATTCATATGATTCCACCAAAGGGTTTTCAGGGTGGAAATAAAAATTTGAGATTAAAGAAATTTTATCGGCCGTGTCAAAATGCCAATGAGTAGTTGTAATTTTAGAATTTTTTGATTTTTTCAAGCGATAAACATCACGTTCAAGGCCTAAAATATCAGTGATTTGAAATTGAGGATTTGTCATTGCAAATTCGGACAAGTTTGGACATTTTTTCAACCATTCCCAATCGCAATCGTCGAAGTTCCATTTGGCAAGTTCGAGGTGTTTAAAGGATTCGAGGTGAGATTTCAATATGTTGTTTAGTAATCCTCCAGGACCATTGGGAAATACTAATCGAATATTTGAAAGATGTTTCTGAGTAGAGAAAAGTTCATTAAGATAATTGAGCAAATATTTAACACGGACAGTACAATTATCGTAAAGATTAATATCGAGGTGAGACTAAGAGAAAATGAATTAAAAATACAGTTAGTTACTATAATTATTATTGTAATATATTTTAACACCTAACGTTAAGATATACCAACCAGTTTTGTGCAATTATCAGCTAATGCCTTAATGACGCAATTTTTTGGAAAAGGAACGTGTATTGCAACATGAACAAGAGAGCTGAACATTGGAGCATAGCAAGATTTTGTCCATAATGCATAAATGTATTCTTTAATTGTACCGGAATTATCCATAATGAAAGTATTTAGGCGGACACCACGGCTTGTTAGCATTTTTAATATTGCATCAATATTTATGATATCTCTATCAAGCTCCAGTAAGTTTGTATAATTGAGTTCTTTAAGGAAAAATGGATAATCGTAAAGTGTTGGAAGTCTTTGAGTTGTAGTTTGTGATGAATGATTTGAGTTGTTTTCTTGATCAAGAAATAATTTATAAATCTTTAATGAGAGTATGCTTCTTTTTTTCTTATAACTGAACGGAGCTTTCCAATACATTGGAACAGCAACTTGACTCCATTCTCGATTAACTAAAAGTGCTGAAATTAAATCGCGAATACTGAGATTTTGAAAAATCTTTATCAAAACGTCGGTAACTAAGTATGGCTTAATAGTATCAGTTGGCATCTTTATAGTAAAAAATTTAATTAAACAAAATTCTAAAAGAAATATTAAATTCATCATCCTTATTTATATATTTAAGCTCGTAGACTTTATTCCGTATATCATAAAGTTTAATTCCGAATTTCTATAAACTTTTTTGATCAGCGCAAAAAAATACAAGGCGCATTTCATTAAATCATTTTTATTTCTATTTAAATAAACAATGCCATGATTACTGGTTGAATAACGAAACATATATAACATAATACAGTAATTATATAATAATTTAATAATTTATTGTTCGGAGCGTCAAGATACCTTAATTATGTCATAAACAATACATTCTGGTTAGGGGGTCTAACTCATGTAACTACGGTATTAGCGAAACAGTTTATCTAAAAACTTTGTTTCATTCTATAATTAAAAATATATTAATTAAAATTATCTTCATTGTTTGGAGATCACCAAATAACTGATCATAATAAATTAACACTTTATAACGATAAATGCACACTCTATGTAAATTCTCTTTAAAACACATGATATAGCCTGGTCCCTAAGTACATATGAGGATCCTATATACAGTAGTTTCTATCCTTAATAAATACATATTTTCAATTTTTTTTTTTACCATGATCCTAAGACTGTACAATACATTGGCTTCTATGATCATCATTATTAAAACCAGTGACGTTAAATCAAGGCAACAAACTACTAACATGTGAATTCACATGCTATCGTAATGTATTTTTACAGGAAATTTTCCTGTGCGCAATCATTTAAATTAAAGGTTAAAGTTACTAAAAGCCTAATGTAGCTTAAAGATTATAAAAGATCGTCGGGACAACCATTGTCTGTGAACGATACGTCATAATTGTTGAGTCTTGTTGACGATTTCTGATCTTTAAATTGTGTTTCCAAAAAATTTGCCAATAATAATATTGACAAAGAGCTCTTATAACGTCATATCTGTTATATTACATATAAGACATGCCGGAGATTTATGATCACCTCCATAGAATTTTCTAGAAATCCCACATTTTTTTCATAAATCCCATACAAAAACTAACATGCCTATAAGTAGATTTCTCCGACGATTAAGATTAGCAAACACTAACACTCTAAATAAGGATAACAAAATATACTGCGGTACGGACTAAGATCAGTGTTTAAAACTATATCGATATGCGGTGTATGCGGAATCTGCGGTGCGCAGATTGAAATTTCATTCCGCAAGCAAAATTTTCTTGAAATCTACGCATCTTTTTTATTATGTTTACAAAAATTATTAAGCTTAACCATATTGAAATAAATTTGAATTTTAAACAATAAGATCCAATAATAAAAAGCCAATTTCTTAGGCATCTCGGAAGTATATTTAAAAAAAGATAATGTTTTACTGGTATGTACTGTACGTACTGTACCAAAAACTGTTAACAGTATTATTAATAAATTACAATTCTAATCTTAATCTATAATAAAAAACATAACATTGATATATATATCAATAATCTTTTTGGGGGTTTTGGATTATTATTATTTTAAAAGTTTTATTATTAGGCCTTAATACCTAAAGAGCTATGTATTAGTGTTAAAACCTAGGAATCGGAAAAATTTTAAGGTTCTAAATACTTTGTATTGTGTATTGTTAGACAAGATTTGTTATATTTTGAGATTTGAAAAGATTAAAAATGACATAATTAACATTAAAGATATTATCGTTATTTTTAAATTAAAATTTCGTAATGCATATCAATATGCACAACTTTACGTATAAAATTTTCTTATACGTATATATCGGTATAGATTTACGTTTACGTATAATACGTAACTGATAAAATATCGCAACTACGAATGTACCAAATTAGGTATAACAGCCTTTTTAATTGATGAGGCGTATTGAGTTGATAACAATCGCATCATTATATTAAATTGAAATATCGGTATGAAGAGATAATACACTAAAATCACGATAAAATAACAATGCCCAATTAAATCAGAATACAGGAATATCGATATAAAAAATTAACATTTCACCATCATGTGATAGATTGTAACACTAAGTTAAACTTTAACCCAACAAAATGATTAAAAGGTTAGATTTCCTAAATTATTGCGTAACGAAACTTTATTCTGTAAGATGATTAGAAATTTAACTGGATATTTTAAAACTATTATTAAAATTCTATATTAACTTCAAACATTCATCTAAAGAACTATATATAATTAACAATACTAACTTGGAAAAAAAAAATAACAATGGAAATAGAATCAATTCAAGATTTAAACAGTGATGATTTAGTCGAGCTGAGGTAAAATTATTAATCTAATCTTGTTCGATATATTGTTAAATGCATTTGTTTTTTATTTTTAACCAATGTAAACAATGAACAGAGGTAAAAAAAAAAAGCAAAAAACTAAAACAAACAAAACTATAATTTTTTTTTTATTGCTTTAACGTTTAACTTTACTAACTCTAACTTTACTAACTTCTATATTTTTATCAGCCTTTCAAAGAACATTTGAAGGATCTTACTGGCGAACAAGTTTAGCGCAATTCACTTTTTCTTTATTTATCCTTCGAGTGTTCGAACCAGCTTTCTTTGCAATCGGTGTAGTATTCGTAGCATTTGGATGTGCATTACTTTGCATTTCTTTACTTAGACGACAAAATAACACCGATATATTTGATCATTCTAAACCATTTGTTACTAGCGGTTTATATGTTGCACTTGCGGGATTGGTTTGCATGTCGGCTTACATTTCTTTGTTATGTCTTGTCTGTATCTTGCGCTAATTTTGGAGTTCAAACTTTATTTCTACAATTATAATATTATTTGTAAGATTATTTGTAAAATTATTTTTATTTTTATTAATATTATTTGTAAGATTATTTGTAAGATTATTCATTATTTTGTATTTTTATCTTTAAAAATTAGGATCATGTATAATATTAAATATATAGTATAAAATACACAAACTTTATATATTAATGGCAGAATTAAAAGACTAACGTTAGTGAATTTAAAATCTATTTAAGTATATTTTTTCTATTTCAATATTATATGTTTATTGGTTTATTTTTTTTTTATGTTTTAATCTTTAGCAAAAATAAATTAGCTTTCTTATAAGGAAAAAAAAAGGCACATTATATAGTTAGAGAAAACTATTATTACTTGAATCTTAATTACAACCGATATAGATATGCACGGAGTCTAAAAAGTGTTCAACCAATATAGATATGCACGGAATCTAAAAAGTGTTCAAAACCCCATCAATTCGAAATTTCGGAAGAGGAAATCGTTAGTTTATAATTTATAAAAATGTAATCTTGACACTTTATTTAAACCTGGATAATAATAATAATAACGTTAGTTTATAAAAAAAAATTTATGCAAATTATTCTTGGAGAAAATTCCATTATAGGATATCTGATTGTTAGTATGAGAGAGAGCTTTGCAATTGATTATTAATATTCGGCAAAACTTAGCGCGTTAAATCATCACAGGGAGGGTTTGATTTTAAAGTTGGAGCCACAGAACAATAAGAATACCAAATATTGTATCTATCTCCTTCGTGCTTGAAACAAAAACAAAACCTCATCGATTTGATATGCGAGTTGGTTAGACTTCTCCAAAAATAATCTTTCACTTCTACGTTCATTGTGTTCATTGTCTAGACTGAAGTACCACAAATAAGACAAAGTTTGAAAGTTGCATAACAAATTTGAGCATGAAATTTGAATATGAAATTTGAACATGGGTGTTTGCATTGAATACTTCCGTACGGCTTGAACTGGAAAATAGTAGAGTCCAAGTTTATAACCCAAATTAAAAAGAAATGCCTTTATCACAAGTCGCGTCTGAAGAATAAAAAATCTTATTTGTCTTTTCTTTTTTACCAGATTTCACATTGAAAGTATGGAAGACTGAGAAAGCAATTTCTCAAGTACGTTATTATTTTTGGAATAAAATCCGTCATTTAATCATGTCTTCTCATCCATCAGAATCATTTGAAGAGAACACGCATATTTATATTCTCAAACTCTCTTAACTAATTAACATTCGAAGATGTCTATGCTACAAATGATGGTATGGCTAGTGTGAATGTATCGTAGGTAGTTGAGTTGGATTGTATGGTGCTGTTTATATGTTTATATCTCGCGAATTCAGATTACACCACTTCGAGATGGTTCCATTATGACGTAACTATAAACTGTTATGTATTTTGTATACGTTATGTTTATATCTCGCGAATTCAGTTTACACCACTCGAGATGATTCCATTATGACCGTTATCTGTTATGTATCTTGTATACGTTATGCCTAATTCGAAGTCTTGGCTTTTACCATTGTGATGATAAATTATATAATAAAAAACATCAGGCGCTTTGTTTACGGATTGATTTTTTGTGTAATATGTCAAGTTCATTCATTTTCAATTGAATATAAAAAAATAACAAAACGCATTTATTATCTTGATTAAATGCTACAATAATATTACTCCTATGTGGCTATAGTAAAGCATCCGGTGTACATGTTATTTGAAAAATCTGCCGATGATTATCATCGACCAATTTAGAAAATTA